TGAACTGAAACAAAAAGGAAGCTGCAATACCAATAAGTTTATTTCATACATTGTTGTTGCTGTTGTTGTTATTATTGTATTTGTTGTTGCTGCCGCTGCTGTTATTTAAAGTTAAGCAATCTCAGAGCATAGCAAACCAACATGAAAATTACAAAAGTGAAAAAAAAACACAGAAAACACAAAGGCAGAGAGCAGCACTGAACATCACAGCTGGCGTACAACACGTTACGAACGTTTGGCTAAGAAAACAGGTTTGCGAATTTGCAGTTGACTAAGATAGTTTTTTATATTTTCAGCTGTTCAAAAGTAATTGTTATACATAAGCTAAGCGAAAGAGTTGAGGGGTAAGACATGCAAAAGGTTAACTTCATTTTATGTTCAATTATTAAGCAAATTCAGAAAAAAAAACTAATTTTGTTAAATGCGAATTTTTTAATGAAAATTCTGAAGAGTCAATATTTTGATATGCTGAGAGGATTGTCATAACAAAAAGGGCGTGTAAGGAAGAGTTTCCACAAAGCATTAAAAAGAAAAAACTTCAACAACTGTTGTTGTTGTTCGTGTTGTTCCCATATTCATGCGCGCTGTGCAAAATACCAACAACAGCAGCAACAAAAACAAACACAAACTATTTTCGCATGTTATCTTGCTGTTAATTAAGGAAATGAACAAAAATGTAGGATAGAAGAAAAAATTTTAGAATTTAGAAAAAAAGGCGCAAATTTTTAAAAATTTCTAAACTTACCACATAATTTGGTTAATCCTTTTAATAAATTTTGGTTTATTCTCGCTGCTTGCAGAACTTCTAATTATTAATTTATTTCTTTGTTTTAAGTAATTTTTAAATTATTTTGTATAAATTTTTTTAACTATTTTTGTTTGTTATTTTTTTTTTGTTCCGTTTGTGTTTGTGTTACTTCACCCGCAGCGGCAACAACAACAACAACGTGTAACACAACAAACAAAAACCAAAAATAATATTATCAATTCTTATGCTTTTTCTGGATGTTTATCGGTGCCTTTGCCTCTACACTTTACTTTACACAATCTTTATAGAATTACTGCAGCCGCAGCAGGAATACTAAACACACCCTCCACTCTACAAAGCGAAGCAGGCCGCATAAGGTAAATGTTGATAAAAAGGGCGATTTTTTACTTCACTTCAAGAGTTCTTTTTATTTATAACTTTTTTTATCCTTCTTTTTGTTAATTTTCAGTAATTATTTAAACATTTTACATTTAACACTGCACAAATAACTTAATTTTTAAAAGTTATTTTAAACTTTTTTTTGTTGATTTCAAAGGGTTTTGGGAATAGAGAAAATTTGGTTCCACCGTTTCCCTTTTTTTTCACACAACTTTGCAGTGCAGTAAATTTTGCTTTTGCATTTTTTTTCACAATTTAGGAACTCTTGCAAATTTCGTGCGTATATTTAAATTCAAAAAATTTGGATCACTTTTTGCAAAATACACTTATTTCAATAAACAAACTATATTTAATTTATTTAAATACAATTCAAAATTCACAACACCGCGACAGCGATACAAACAAAACCATACCGCAATCCGATCGACACATCCACTCGTGAGGCAAATTGAAACAGACTGAGAACTAATTTTTCGTTACCCCAATGTATTGTTGTTTTTGTTTTTTTCTTTCTATTCTCGTATCTCTTTATCTCCGGCAAAAACCATACAAACTTGTGACGAAATGGAACTGAAATTAATGAAATTGAAACAGCGGACGCTAAAAATGAAATGCATTTAAAAAATTCGGAAAGCTGATAGTTTAGCTGCGAAAAATTTTAAAAATTTATTATATAAAAATTCATATACATATATTAAGGCCGTGTACGTGTTCGAGTAAATTGATGGTAAATTAAGGGAAATAATAAATTATGTCGGTATTCAGAGATGTTGGTATTGACCAAAATTTCGAGTAGAATAAATCAGATGAAAATGAGGTGAATTAGGTTTTATCATTGTTAAAATAAATTTGAAAACTTATTTAACCAATAAAAAATAAATAAGTGCAATAAATAAATATTTACATAAGTACAGTGCAAAAAATCTCTAGGAAATTCTAATTAACTTTACCTCAATTTACTCGAACTCGCACACGGCCTAATTAATAGTTCAACTTTATCTAACATTTAAAACTGAATAAATATATATGTACATATATAATTTATTATTATTATTTTAATAATAAAATTTAATTAATTTTTTTTTGTCAAACGAGCTAATTGTTCAATAGACTGAAGTCGCAATATCGGTAAGTATAAAATACATTCTTTAAAACTAATTTAAGAAGTTTTATATTTTTTACATTCACCTATTAAAACGTACGAAAATATATGAATTTAAATATATTTAATTTTTTTATAGTGGCACTGAATAAAAAATATGAAAACGATTAAAATTACACTGTAAAAATATTTAAAAATACTCTCATCATTTACTTATGTATATTATAATTAATTATTATTATTAATTAATTAAGTGGCTTATGCTATAATTCGCTACTCGGGTAGTTTATAGTGTTAACCCCAATTATTTTAACCGATCATTACACTTTTAATAAACGGTACGTCCTTTGATGGTTTTATATTGTTCTAAATATTATAAAAAAAGGAAAAAATAAGATAATTAGGTCTGCTACTACCGAATTTAAAAACAGCCTTCACAGAGACTATATTCAAACGTTTCAACGTCCATTTTACAAAAACAACAAATACTGCGTTGTAAAAAGCGAATTTCATTGAGATTTGACCTCAAACTATAATGCTCTATCTGAAACCCGTTGGGATATCGGCTCTCCTATTAAAACCCTCTTATATGGATTTAAGAATCTCTTAACCTATCTTTGACCTTTACAGTTTATCTACATAGTATCAGAGTTTATACACTATATTACCTCTATTTGCAGTACAGAAAGGCTCAGATCCATAAATTAATGTTGAGGTCTTAGTTTGGCGAAATATTCAGCCCTTTCGTAGTCTTCACATCATTTATATCCCGAAATACACTAAAAAAAATGTAGTTACTTTGTTCCAGCTCATTGAGAAGCCTTAAAAATTTCTTCAGTACCCCTATATGAATTTTGACAGAATTTAAGACTAATAGAACTGCGTGGCTGTCTGACATTGTATTGATTGATTGGTTGTCGCTTTTTCGCCTTAAATATTTAGCTTAGTATGCATTTCGATATAAAGGTTTTATTATTTTTCCACGCTGTCTGTCCAATTTTTTTATTTAAGAATGGTAATCTTCCCTTTCTTCATAAAATATTTTTTGTAATATGATCTGAAATATCAAGAAATAGATATAAAATGTTATATATACTATACTAAAGTGACTCTGGAAAAAATTTTTACTAATGTTCTGGAAGTTAAATGCTTTATCAATTTTTGACACTTTAAAATCTGAATAGTTGGTGAAAGTATTCTTGTGATGACATCCAATGCACCTTCAGGACTGGTTTGCATTACACCTGTAAAGCTTCCACTTATTAGTCATCGTTTCATATAGACTACGGGTTTAAGGAGGTCGCTCCACAGTACGATTAAAGAAAGATTGGTTAGGTTAAAGGCAGGTGATCTGATAGAATATGTTAACCTATACTTTTATAACTAATTGAGTCTGTCTAAAGTAAAAGAACATAGACATTGACAAAAATTTTACAAAATTATTTAATTATTTCTAGTAAGTACTCGATTTTGATCTGAGTCAGAAAGTGAAGAAAATCTATCAAATATAAGTGCTAACTCAATATATTTTATTAAAATGTATTGATTGATTTAAATATCCATTAAAATATTCACAAATTAAGCCTGTGAAGATCTCTGCTACAGATCTTAACTAAAGTATCAGTTTATAGTGTAAGTTTTAAACAATTTTTCAATTTAGATCTTAATACTTACTAGAACCAGTAACAATATCTTTGAGTCTCTCAGGTTGTGAAATTTACATATAACATAAACATAAAATTATATAAAAATAACATTCGATTCAAAGGAACCTTTCAATTATAACCCATATCCTAGAAAGAGTGTCTATTTTTCCATAATTTCATTAAGTTTAATTCGAAAGATTCTTCCCATTATATTCCATGAATTTGGAAAAACTTGTAACTATTCCTTTATCTTATTCGTTTCATCAGTTTTCTTTCTTAACTAACGTACAACCCAAGAAGTAGTAGTCTTCAGTACTTCTCTTAATAATTTCATCATGTGTTTTACACAATTTGATTTTTGGCCTGGTACCCACCATGATACCTATATCATGGTGTATATATATTCTTTCTATAAAATCTTAATTTATTTTTTAAATATTCTTAAAACCTAAATACCAGTGACATTATATGAATCGGATGTTTAAAAGGACATATGATTTACTGTTTGACGTTTGAAACTTAATAAACAGAAAACATAAATGTATTCCAAGATGAATTTATAGATTGGAATGGGATAGAAGGAGGCTTATAACAACATATAAGTTAAAAGATATAAGTGCATGAGATGCTTTGCAGGAAACTAGTCTGAATTAAGATGAAAACATCTTTCCACGGAACAGAGTCATAAACCAATAGAGCTTGAATTGAGAAGGATCAGATCTGCAGTATGACCACACATAAAGAATATGCCTAACAAGCAGTATGTGACTATATCTTGACCGTAATCAGGAAAAAACAGTTTTCATTGTATGTTATAGCTGTCCTTCACCACTAAAGATTTCAGGCAAAACCATGTTAAGTATTTTGTTGCAATGAAAACGTGGTCTCGAAGAAGACTTAGTTTCGAAACTGGAGGGCAGTTATCCCTCGTTGGTACTACATTGCAATATTATAGTATTAGATTTTGATGTATATATAATACGAAGCAAGGGATCACGATATGCAATGTAGAGAAAGTGTGTAAGAATAGTAGCATTAAAAAATTACTTAAAATATTAAATTTAAATAATAAAAAAAATTTCAAAATAAACATAATTAATACTCATTCTCATGATCATTGATACAATGTTAGGTTTATTGTTTTCATTATTGTTTCTAAGTTTGAAAAAGCAAAATCACTCTTTCGTTCAAATTTTTTAATTGTTCAAATAAAATTTAGAAAAAAAATAATTACAAATCACTATTAATAACAAAATAATATCTTGCAAATATACAATTTAAGTTCTTTACAGCAAATTTTTAGCAACTATTCAAAAGGATACATAAATTTATCACCGCATAATTTAACTCACATAACAAGTGAGAAAGACCAGTACACTTCAGTTTGATTGAAACTGAGCAAAAATTACTTTGCTTCAAAAACCGCATTATTTCTTCATAATTTGTTAATTCAAATATAAAACCATTTAACAAATTTAATAAATATTTAATAAACTTCATTGCGATATGTGTTTACGAAATTACTGATCAAACCGGGTAAGTTCGGTGCGCGGCACAGATACTTATGGCCGTAAGCCATTGAGCCGTCGAAACGATGAAACTCAACAGGACCCCACGATTTTCCGCGTGTATCAAGTGCAATCCGATAAAGTTTATAACCCAAATGGAATGGCACAACATAATCATCTTCGGCGTGTATGATCAAAATGGGTTGACGAAATTGACTTATATGATGATCAGATTCAAAACGCAAAGAATTGCTGTACATTGGACGCGATATAGTGAGATCAAACCACGGCAAATGTTTGAAGAGCTGTAAGAAATTAAACAAGATATTAGAAATATTTTAATCATTTTTAATTTAAAATAAAACTTACGCGTGCAAAAGGATGTAAACGTATTTCTTCACGTATATTTGTGAAAGGACTTTCTAATATAACGCCACGTGGTCCTTGTTCATTCATATAATTAAGTTGAGCACATAAATTCGTTGAAACGCCCGTTCCTAGTGAATGACCCCATATTATAATAGGGTTTGATGTGATATTCCTTATGTACTGATACACTGCCATAGCATCTCGTACCACTCCTTCTTCGGTTGGCGGCACAGGATCTGAATCAGCATAGCCTCTATAGTCTAATGAGAGCACATGATAGCCTAATTTTCTTATAACTCGATACACTTCTGCACGATGACCGGAGCCACGAGTCGCAGTATTACCATGCAAATATAGTATAATGGTGCCTGGTATTTTCAGCAAGCGCTCATAAAATAATTGTTCATTTTCGGCAGTTACCTCCGGAAATTCGGACTTAAGTGTAGGTTCCAATTGATCAATTGTTTCATCTTTGGTTTCTGTAGTATTGAACAAGTCTTCTTGCAAATAGTCCTTAAAATATATAAAAATAAAATAAAATATCTAATAACATAATAAAATCTAATTATATAGTTTACTTGATCAATTTTTAATTCGCTAGCAAAACGTTTTACCATATATACCGGTAAGACGTGCCAAACACCAATTCTCACACCCTCCTCATCATCAACGTCTGAGTCTTTAACGGTTAGATAAAAATTTCTAGTACCATAAAGACCAATACTGGCTGGGTTCGTTAAATCGAGATCTTTGGGATATCTTACTACAAAAAAGAAAATACAATATTAATATTTATATTTACACCGGAATGATTGATTTTGTTACTTACTAAATGTTAAAAAAAGTATGCCTCTTTGCAATGTTATGGAGTAACGAAAAATAACTGGAAATATAACGAATACCGTAAGCAGAATTACACAGCCTATTTGAGCTAGAATTAGGGAGATTCTGAAAGAAAGTTATAGTGTTAAAAATTTATATGGACAAATATATGGTAAAAGTTTTATATTATACATATTATATACAATATACACACATATATTATGATTTTATATTGAGACATGCAACTTTGTGTAGTGTAACTATTAAAATAATTCCAAAAAATTTTTCTACAATAGACATATTCCATAACTTAAATAAAAATATTTACACAACCTCTCCTTGTACTACAGAACTTGCCTCTTCTATTTTGACAGATGTTGGACCATAGTCAATATTGGGCAGGCGAAGAATTATAATTAAAAAGTCAAACCATATTATATTACAAATATCAGTTAAAAAATTATTAAATAAATATTATATTGTATATTGTATAACTGAACACGTTGTTTTTTTCTTTGAAAGAACTTTGTTAATATAAAATATGGGATATTAATAACTCAGACAAGTAACTAACTAAAACAATATATATATACTGCTCGAATTAAGGAACGGAAAAGGTTTTCTAAACATATTAGAACTTACTAGCTGTATCTCAAAATGCAATAAAACCCTTTGTCACTTTCTAGAGTATGCAGTGTATAAATTAGCGCTGTTCCGATTCCACTATTTAGTTTGGAATATAGGGGCTTCTTTAGTTTTCTAAAATGTTCCTTTTTTGATAGTAAGCCCATTTTTTATAGGTTAGTTTATATGAACTATAATCAGCTTAATGATACAATATATTAAATATTATATGTTCAGACAATTATCTAAGAATTCTTTAACAATGGAATTATATCACAATGCAATAAATTCTTTTTAATAATTATCGGTATTATTTAGCATATAAAAGTAGGTCTCTTCAAAAACTACACAGATTTGCTAAAACTCTCTCTTCTAATACTACAATAATCCCATTTTTTTATGGTATAGCTCAATTGAACTGCAATGAGCTTCAAACTGCTCCAACTTTGAACTGATGGCAACACCATGCCCACACTTTGTTTAATAAAAAATTGATTATATTCTTTATGCATGTGCAAACATTTACATCACACTTCACGGAAAAAAATATTTCGTATTAAAACACAGACTTAACAGTGAAATAGTGATATATTCGAAAACAAAACTACAAACCCCTATTGTTAGAACCCTCGAACGTCTGAAACTGAATAAATTGTTTACATATGTCTCGGACTATATCACAATCTAATGCGATAGGGAGTGTTGTAAAACATTATGGATGAACTCGAAAAAAGTCTCATCTCCAACAAGAGTGGTTCCAAAAGTTAAAGCTAGAAGTTTATATTGCGATGAAAAACAAATTCCTATACAGTACATCGAAAACAAAGAATACTCGAAAACGTGTTTAAAGCGGAGGCATAACATTTTTAAAGTCAACATATTATCATGTGTTAAACTTCATATTGAGCGAACAGTAAGTTCCATGCCTATCAAACACAAACTAACTTGAATTCTCGATACTGGGTGCCGACTGTGCAGCCAAATGTTAGTTCTAAGAAAATATCAGAGTGTTGATGTATAAAAGAAACCATCGATTTCTTGATATTGGGTACCGACTTTGCAGCCAAATGTTAATTCTAAAAAAATACCGATTGTTATGGATTCAAAAAAAAGGCTCGTTTCGGGAATAAAAAAAAGACTCCGTAAGTTCATATTCATAAAGCGTGCAAATTGTTGAGGGATTCGGAGTCTCATTTCGCATTGTATTTTATAAAAATAAGATATTATTAAAAATTAATTTTTTTATAGTACCATTCCTTCGAAGAGGATATGGGCATATGATAAGCAATATCTATAGTAAGAGAGCAGAGTAGTCTATGCTCCAAACCCACTGCGAACCCAATAAGGTTTCTCATTAATGATAAATAACTTGTAATAATTAAGATAGGGATATTACATATTGATTAATTTATATATTCTAGGTTAACTTAAGATATACCAGCAAAAAGATCCACATAGGTCTATGGGCCCATTGTGTTACAGTATAAGGAAACCTCAGACATTTAAAACCACTTTGAACCTTTGCAAAGCTTACAATGATATTTAAGGGAAGGTTTTGCAGTTGATCATGATCCGCAAAAAACGGTGATAAGGCTCATTTGTTGGACAAGAATGGAGCAGATGGGAGACACTTTTATTGTCCTCTCTACAAATATATACTATAATTACGGAAAGTTAGTTTATTACAATACAATATGTTGATTTTCTTCTAATTTATGTGTTATTAGAAAGCACATTTATAACAAATAATAACACTTTTCTGTATAATACTATTACATATGATACATCGTTGAATGAAGTTTTTTAAAATCTACAATGATACATTAATATTCAATCTTTTTTTCCGAATTATGACACTTATTTATAGTAGAATTAAATTTCTATATACATTCCACCATTATTACTGACATGCCCAAATCAATGATATTAAATTATTTACGCTAGCTATAAAAATATAAATTATTAAAATTCACTGAATATATTTTCAATTACTAAATAGTTAATTTTTGGTAATAAAAAAGATAAACATCAGTTAACTTAAAATTAGAAAAAAAACTATTTTATGTGCAATATGTATATACGTACTACAAATACCAAAAAAACAGAGTGCAATTAAAAATTAAATGAACTACTTTTATTATATATAGGTATAGGTATATACAAAATAAAATGACAAATAGAGATCAGAATGAGATAGATAATGGAAGCATTTCTATTCTTAACGATTTATTTAAACATTAAAAAACAAATAATATGTATTATAAAAAAAAGCTATTAAAAGTACTAAGTACTTTTATAAATAAATTTATATGTACAATATTATAGGTGATAAAATATACATATAGGTATAGAATCAACAAATACTTCTATAGTTAACGATTCTTCTTGTAGTTGTAGATCCGAGAATATGTAGAAAATATTAATGTAAGGAGTTCAAGTAACACAATTGCAAAGGATGTTAATATTTTGTTTTTATAATATAAATGAAAGAATAACATTGGTACTTTATTCCTATACAAATCTTGTTACAAGCTCATATAGATTTCTTCAGAATAACATACATGTAGAAAAAGTCTATATTATAACTATATTAACTGTATTATATTCTGTTTATTTGAACTGTGAAAAGGAAAGCTGCTTACTTAGATGTACTAACTTGCTGGAAAGATAAGTTTAACGAATACAGTATTTAGTTTTGTTAGTCTACATCAGAAAATCAGATAAATATTATATATAAGTACCCGATTCGTGTAGTTCTTGCATAAGTATACGAAGTATAGAGTATAAAATTACATTACATGCCGTCTTCTGCGGTCATATTCAAAAGGAGAAAACTTTGATTAACATATGACTCAATACTACTAAATGATCAATTTCACCGAATCCGACACAATCTCAATCATATAATAGAATGGCATAATGTATCAACATGCTTACGTCTTACAGATCATGAGACGAAATAATTGGTACCAAGGTAGCTATTAGCACCGCCAGAAAAAAAATGAATGGTTAAAGTGTTTAAAAACTCGTTTTCACATCGGTTCGAAAAACATGAAACGGATGGGTTGTGATACTACTACTTCATCAAGGATTGTAATGACATAATGTAATGTATGTAATGACATAAGATAATTACTAAGATCATAACACATAATTTGGTGAATCAGTCTGGAAGCTTAAGTAAAACCTAACTAGAGAGAAGCTTTTAAAATGTGGTGCTACTTATGAAATCTGAAGCTTCTTCTGACGAACAAAATGTCAAATGAAGAAGTTCTAATAAGATTAAGAAAAGATAGAGAACCCCTAAATACTATCAAAATAAAACTATCAAAAAGAAAAACGCGGTATTTTGGTCTTTTCATCCGAGGTTCGATATATGAATGGCTGTCACTGAATCGAAGGCAAATGCGACATGGAAAGAAAACAAATGTCTTGACTGAGGAACATCCGATATTGTACTGGGTTAAGAACGATACTGCTAGAAACAGAGAAAATTTTAATAACATTATTTCTAACATTTTGTTATTTATGTGATTGTATGCGATGAACATTAAATTTTAGTTAGTTCTTCAATTAAAGAAGAAGAACTAGAGAGAAACTAAAGAACAAGTTGTCTCTGCAGACTAGAAAAGCACTTTACATTGGTATAACTGTTTTATTTTATGGTACTTAAAATATTGGAATGAATATATAGCCATAAAACCTGACTATATAAGGAAGTATAACTAAAAAGAAAGACCTATTTTTCTGCAAAGAAACAACGATCCATTCGAATTCATGATATTTCATAGAAGTCTTCTAGGCAGTGTTAATGAAAAGTCACAAGGATCAGCGAAAATTTTTTTTGCTCATTAAAACCTATTTATTTAAAAAACGACTTATATATATTACACTAGATTTTGGTCCATTAAATAGCCATTAATTGGTTGTTCCACTTTTTTGAAGATTTTTCAAAAAATAAATGTATGGTAAATGTTTCAGAAAACGTGATTTATATCAACATTTTTTTATGTTATGTATCATGTTGTACCTATGTATCATTTTCTTGCATTGGAGATATCCAAGTGAGACATTTTCGACATTTTTGTGTACCAATATTATGCACTAAGTCAAAGTTTTAGATCAAACGTACTGCGGACCGAAAAAAAACTCAAAGTATATTAGAAAAATCGGAAAAATATTCAATGTGTTGTTGCAGAGATCGATACCAATGTAAAAATATGCAACGTATATTACAAAAATCGAAATAATACTCGATGTGTTTCTCAAGAACCTGTACCAATATCTTCCAAACAAATAATATCGGTAAAAATAAAAATACAATATTTTACAAACAGTAGAGTGGTGCTACTGTTGGGGACCTGTGGTAGAAAAATCTTGCTCTAGGTTAGATACACCTATTTAGGTAACTTGTAAATTTAAATATACAAATTTTAAAAGATTACAGAAGAATTCGGTTTCAAAAATATTTTCGTATCTATTTACCCGAAAGCTTTAAGAACTTAGAAAGGTCTTATCAATTAAACCAAGATTTGTTAACAATTACTATACATTATTATAAGAACGAATTATGATAAAATTTTGATCTTCAACAAATTAGTTTAGGATATATGTGTACATATAGGAACTTAAAAAAAACACAGTTCACATATATATTTTTAAAATATAAAAAAGCAACAGCTGTTCCAAAGATTTATAATAGTTTGCTGAATAAAAAAAAAACACCGAAATTTTTACAGAAGGAGATACACTTAGAAGATACAGTACACAGAGCACAAAAGGCATATTAGCATAGCAATTAATGGGAGCTTTAATACTTACAGCCCAATCATCCAAATTAGAAGCAATGATCCAGGTATTACTGTGGCACAAAAGAGTACGTTTATAAAATTATGGATTTCGTACATCGCGCATGTGAATTGTTGTTGGTTTGACTGTTCTTTACGTGTAATGAGATATATACGAGCAGTACGAGTATCGAAGGGATAACGAGAACGGATTGTTTTAATTAAAAGCCAGGTGGTGTTCGCATTAATTCCGTTTTATCCGGATTAAACTATGCTATTGCAGATCTTGAAGCAAGTTTTACATCAGTGCTTATAAATTAAAACTGAAATAGCCGAAATTTAGCGCGATGATACTGGAGGTGATACCAGTTCAAAGTTTACGTTAAAAAACTAATAAAATTTATATGCATACGAGTATTTACATATATTTTAACTTTACACTTGAATTGTTTAATTCAATTTAATTTTGTATATTTCTTTGTTAAATTTTTTTTTTGTTTTTAGTAATATGTCAAGTTCACATAATTTTTATTATTTTTATATATATTTCAATACTTTAACTTAACAATTTTGAGTGCGATTTTATTCTCATCAATTTTAGGTACATTTTTCACATAATTATTGTAATATTATAGCCTAAAAAATAATAAACTAAATTTAAAAAAACTTTAATTTTGGAATATCTATGAAAAGATATATGAAATGAAATACAAACGAAAATGAAGCTTTATATATTATATAATATAAAAGCATGCTTAATTTAAAATTGATTAAAAATACTTTTTTCTAGAAGTTATTATTTTAATATATCTAAGTTCTATTTATGATATACCATAACGCTAAATTTTTCTCTTGAACTATATATATTCATATATAAAGAAAATGAAACGTCTCGGTCAAGTAATCAACACCAAAATTATTCGATAATAATTTTATAATGAAATTATATAGAATGAAAATAATAGATTTTAATATTATACAATATATATAATGACAATCCCAAGCGATATAGCCAGGACCTATTGTGATACTATAGGGGGATACTTTTTCCTAGCTTTCTTAGCAAGGTCTAGCAAAACTATTCAGTTTCCAACAGAAACCTTGAAAGTTCGATTTAAGTCAAATAATACGACAACAAAACTGAATAAAATAATATACATTATTATTATTATTATTATTATTTTTATAGTGACAGTCCCAACACAAAAGTTATTAGGACACAAATACAATTAGCGCCCGCCTTCATAGCACCTTCCAGTGAAATCATTTAGTATCCGACAGTAATCTTGAAAGATTTGTTGTGGTCAAATAAATGCAAAACAGAAATATATACAATGATATTTATAAAATAATAATAATAATTTAAAATAACAGTCTTAACACAAAATGTATTCGAATTCATGTAGGTCATTGTGATACTATAACGAAACTTCTCCCACACCTACCCAGAACCCTCTACGGCAATTTGATTTTTAACAGATTAATTGAAAGTCTTAATAGGTTAACTGTGTCTACGTCTGCTAATTCCTAAAAATCTCCCAAGAAGTCAACCCTTCGTGTGGAAAGAGCTGGACACCCCACTGTCTAGCTAATATTTACTCTAACAAGTACTGAATTATTTCTTTATCCTTACAGCATTAATATTTCTATTAACGGCACCTTATCTAGTCACGTGCATATCTACCATATAATGACCTGTAAGAACAGACAACATTAGATTTACTCTTTTGTTTGAACTTAGAAGAGTGTTAAGTTAATAAATTTTATTAAGCTTCCAAACTCATGCTAATTTTGGTTCTTACAGATCATTGTGCTATTCCATTGTAATAAAGGCACTCTGTAACATATCTTTTAGCCAAAGTTATCTTAACATAAGACAGGTTTTTTGTTGTAAACCTATGCCGAATATTATTACATTATCCAAAAGGGCAATACTGTGTTTGGACCGCTCATCAGGTTTAAATTTTTTTTGCAACATCAATGTGACTTGGAAAAGTAGTCTACTTTACTCCTCTTATTTAAGAATGAATGACACAATTATACTAATCCTAATCTCGTCTCTACACTTGTGAGCAACTTTATGACAGCATAACAATCCGTAATATTTTGCCAAACTTTTTAGTTTGTCTTGGTCTTCCTAACAATATTATTCAAACCTTAAAGCTTGCCTTAGCCGTTGTTATCTTCCTTGCAACAGTTTTCCAAACCTCATAGCTTTATCATAACTGTCATTAGAGAGTGAATAATATACACCAAGAATTTACAATTTCCTATTGAGATAACAGAAAGGAAGAGGAACCAACTCAATTCCACTTAAGTTAAAGAATAAAATAATTTTCTATTGATGTCATATACGTAAAAGGAGAAATATTTATTATGAAATAGTTTTTAATAAATTTTCCTTAAAGATAATTTGATGACGAAAACACTACAAAAAATATATTTACAAATAGTTGCAAAATATTGAAAAAAAACAATTAATAGTGATAAGACTTGAATTTGAGATTTATATTTGTTTACTTTAATTCAGTCTTAGCTTATATATAGGTTCGGAAGGCGCGTGCTGACCGTTGTCAGCACTTCCACTCGGAGGCATATATTGCCCATTGTGATGCCGGGAGAGGCGTAGGTGTAGCTTATATATACAATTTATAAAAATGAAATGAGTTCAAAAATGATCTTTAAACTAATATTGTTTTTCAATAAACAAAACATTAGCTTTAATTAACAGTTAAGTGTCTATTAGTAATTAAAATCACTAATAAAAAAAAGATATCGGATTACTTATAATCGCAAACTACTTCAAAATAAAGTAGAGCAATGAGTATGTTTTCAAAAAAATTTTAAAAATTTCTACGACATTTTGTATAAAAAATGAAAGTTTATGGGGCTTTTAACAATTTGCAATCAATTAATGACGATCGTCCGATAACATGAGAACGTTGTGATTCATTTTTAAAGAAAACAATACTTTTCATGTAAGCAAAATATAGATACTTGCGTTTTAGTAGTTAAACGAAACGAATTTCGATAACGCAGCGAATTTAATGAAACGAAAGTTTAACTAAAAAACAATGACTAAGCATATTACTTTTTTATATATCTACGAATTACTTGGATTTCAATATCTAAAATTCTCAAAAAAAAAAAAATTAAAAACATAAACGGTTTTATAGCTAAAAGGAAATAAAAATGATAAAATATAGGAAACAGAATATTTAGAAGGAAAGAAAGTAAGATCGAGAAAGAGAGAGAATAATAAATACTATTCTTTTTTTTAGCATATTTCTCCCCACACATCCAAACAATATGTGGGTATTAATTTCTTAATCTGACATCTAGATACCACTTCTAAAATAATCGATTTACCCAGTCCAAAGTACCCTTCTTTATAAGAAAATTGGCAAGGTTTAATAACCTTTATTTAGGTGACAAGAAACATTGACCAGTTACTGCACTCCGAAGATATGTCGATAGTCAGCTGAGGGGACAGCAAACTACGAAAACCAAACAAAGCGCAACAAACAACGAAAAAAGTATAGCAGTTTTACTCAAGAATAAGAATTTCAGAAACACTGTCAAAAGTGATTACGTATATTATAAAGCATTACTGGATTGTATACACACCCCATTGAAGTGGCCAAGTTTCTCCGTCTGAACCCGGATGATTGATCTTCAATTTAATCCATTTTTTCTCCTCATTCCTTCTCCCACATTTTCAACTACCACCCACCCATATCATAACCCATGTAATCGTTTTGTAAATCCTTTCATGTTATCTGCTTATCTGCTTTCAGGTCTCAGCGGGTTACAACAACAACTATATGCCATATATAAAAGATAGCATACAAGAAAGATCCTAAAATAAATAAAAAGAAACTGTTCTTTCATCAAGACAATGCACTATTACTAAACTATTTGTAATGATTAGAATTGCACTCTGAATTGATATCATTTGCACATGGCGTTTTCTCCAAATCCGACCTCACTGCATCAAAAAATTACTGCGAAAAATATAGTTACTTTGAGGATCTCAACAAAAGAATGTATATGATGTAGAAGTGTGGTTTTTAACAATGACAATTGCACTAGGAATTATTCGAAGTGGAGAGAAGGTTCCTCTGTAAAATTATCAAAATATCAAAAAACTATTTATAGTTAAATAAAATGACATATCTATAGATCACCATCTATATATACTACATCTGCGAATTCCTAGACATATTCTCCTGCATATATTGCATATCAACATAAGTGCAAACTGTTTACTATTAAATAGTGTTATAGACTTACAAATAAATACTATATCTATTGATTCCTAGAGATATTTTCTTGCTTTCATCACTAAAAAATATAACTCCTAAGTAAATTTTATAATTGTTTTCAGTACTGATATTATATAGAATTCATTGATAAAAAAATACTTGATTAAAACTAAAAACGTTTACCACGATTAGTCATCGTTTCAAATTTGATAGGCACGAGTTCTAAGCCTAGTACTTGCGGTCTAACATATTATAAACTAATTAAATAAAAATTCGTATATTTTCTAAAATCACTGATGATGAGTACTTGGCATTACTCAAAACAGCGTTGTTTGATCAGCCAAATTTCAATAAATTAAACAAAATATTTGTTGTTGTTTCTTCATTACTTTTGAAACCCTACTAAAAACGTTTACTTTAAACCTTTACATTTACTATAAAGTATGGGATATTTATTTTTTTCCCCTTTTTCACATATTCCAAGAATTGTTTACTACATTTTACTTGGTATCTTAAACATATTTGATAATAATTTGTACACTAATCAATGATTGATATAAAAAGTATTATAAGGTATTTAGTATGGGCGTACATAGAGACTCATTTAAGGGGTTATTCAGGTTTTTATGAAAACATTTAATTGAAAAATATTCAATTATAACTAGTATAAAAAGTTTTAGAATATTTTTGGGGGTGTCAAACACCACAAAACCTATCCCCTGGTATACGCTATTGGTATGTAGTAATCAATATTATATTAATTTATTGAACAGAAATATTTGGAGAAAATTTTGATAAGAGTTTTAGACTTTTATTTAATGCGATATTTTATATTATTTTTATAGTATTTTAAAATTTACTGAAACTGACTAAGTCCAAGCTGAAATATTTTATTACAATAAATGCTATTTATTATAATATTAGCAACATTTTTTTTAAATGTGAATTATATTAACGCAAAACAATTATTGTTGCGGTTAATAATGATGGATATTTTAATATAAGTAAATACCAGATATTTTTATTTTGATATCAAAGTTTTTTAGTACTCAAATGAATCTATATACGCCTTTAGAATTTTCTATTCTATCTAGTATTTTCATACTTTCAAAAAGTACTTATATAAGTAATTATCATTATTTTTAGTTATCGTGCTATCCTGATCCTGACACA